AACAGCAGCTGAGAAACCTCCTCTCTATTTAATCCCTCTGATTTCAACAGGTTTCCCCCAAAAAAACAGGAATAATCTGTTCAAAAGTGATGATAAACCCCAGTTGAGCAGAGCAGTGACACAGCACACGGGGAAGAGCTGACTTGGCTCAGAATGGATAAAATGGGAAAGAAAAGAGATAAATAAAGGACAAGAGATGAGAGGCTGCTCCAGTTTTGGGAGGTTCTGCCTCCACTTTGTCACATCACAATGTCCTTCCACCCTGCCCAGCACAGCAGAGTTATAGCTCCATCCCCAAGGCACAAGGCAGGTGCTCCATGAAAACTTGCTGAAGTTTCAATGTTATTTTTCTCCCATGATTCTGAAACGAGCCACATATTCCTTCTTTTCCCCACGAGGTGTATTAGAAAGCCTTGGAGAAGGAGTTTGTTTCCCCTGCAGCTAAATCTCTACCATCACTTCCATGTTCTCCACTTGGTGTTTTATTTTGGTGATGAAAAAGGTCAGAAAGGAACTGGGAAAAAGCAGAGGATGTAGAAAACCCTTCTAAGTTTAGTTTTAGCTCCATCAAACCATTCCCAAACTCTTTAGGGTTGTCTATACATGTGCTCTGTTCTTACAACCCTCTGTGCATTCACCTGGCTCAGCACTCCCTTTATTCCTATTGTATTCCCATTGTTCCCATGGTCAATATTCCCAGTATTCCCTCCCTCTGAGCACTTCTGGCAGGACAGGAGTGCTGGGGATGGGGTTGGCTGCCCACGGTGCTCCTGGCAGGCAGAGTCAGGTTTCCAACTCTTCGGATGCTCCTCAGACATCTCATCTTGATCCTGATGTGTCCCAGTGATAACTGCCAGAAATCAGATACTTTGGGAGCTGTGACTGTGCTGCTGCCATAGAAATCCTCCTGTCAAATCCCAACAGTGGCTGGAAACAGCTTTCTCTTGATTTCATCTAACCTAGTTAAAAAGAGGAGTAATGTCCCCAGAGAGATGTAATGAAATTAATGGCTCGGTCCAAAAGAGGCTGATGATTTATGGTCACTTGTGATAGATCCTCTTAGTCTTCTTCCCAGATATTCCCCAGGGGCAGCTCAGTGCCAAGAGTTGTGGTCCATCCTCAGCATCATGGGAAGGGTCTGAGCCCTCTGGATGCAGTGGGAAAGTTCCTGGGCACATGGCACAGGGCACAGGGCAGGGCTGGGCAGGTTTGGCAGCAAATTTGGGCAGGAGAGCACTGTGGGGATGATTTAGGAGCCTCACCCAAGCCTAGGGATGCTCCAGAGGTTATTGCTGCTCTGCAAGCAAGGGAAGGCTGATGTAAGCTGTGGGGCACATGGAATGGGATGGGACACAACCAGCACAGCTTTGGTGGGACCCCAATCCTCCCCCACTAGCAGCTCTTAAAATCTTTTTCCTTCCCTCTCCCCAGACTATACCCAACCAGTTCCTCCTCTCTCAGCAGGTCCTGAGAGCCAAATGCAGCTCTTCATTAATCTCAGAGTCATTAGGGGCGGATAAAGCTACTTACCCCAATTCCTTCCTGCTCGTCTCGATCCCAGCCAAGCATTTCACCTTGGCGCCAGCAACAGCCCGAGGTGTAGTGTTACTGCCTGTTTGCTCCTGCCTTGCCCTGCTGCCAGCCCCAAACAAACCATTTACACGTGGCAATGAATCCAACCGGGAAGGGAATGTGTGTATGGGACACAGCTCTGGATTTGGAGAGTGGATTTGGAGGGATAACCCCAGTGAAAAGCTGCAGGGACACATATGGGCACATATGGCTCCAGCCTGAGGAGTTTGGGAGGATTGACACATCAGGATGCTCCAGCCTGAGGAGTTTGGGAGGATTTAATGAGCTGCAGTGTTGTTTCTGTATGGGATTAGGAATTTTGGGGTTTGGGCAGCAAGTGTAATCATCCCCAAAAGGCAAAGAAAATCAGCTCAGAAGAGAGAGAGTGATGTCCAGGAAGAAAAGACTCCCTGAGCAGGGCCTGAGTTTTAATCCACCAAAGAGATTGGATGCTCCAGCCTGAGGAGTTTGGGAGGATTTAATGAGCTGCAGTGTTGTTTCTGTATGGGATTAGGAATTTTGGGGTTTGGGCAGCAAGTGTAATCATCCCCAAAAGGCAAAGAAAATCAGCTCAGAAGAGAGAGAGTGATGTCCAGGAAGAAAAGACTCCCTGAGCAGGGCCTGAGTTTTAATCCACCAAAGAGATTCAGCAGATGCTCCATGAGCTCACACAGATATCTCCCCACACTGCCAAACCCTCCCAGAGAGGAGAGCTCAGTGTTTCCCACAGTGTGTTCAGCCACAATTCCCACTTTCCCCTGGAGAACAGGAACCACAGACTCATGGAAAGCCTTGAGCTGCAGAAGACCATAAACATCATTTAGTGTGCAGGGATGTCCCATGGATGCAGATGGAGCTAAACCCATGGAGCACAGGGACTGGGAATGAAATGAGGAGTGACCCGTTGGGCTCTGAGCACTTTTCTCCCTGAGCCACTGTATTTATTTTCCCTCCTGTTGCAGTCCCTCACTTCCTTGCCTGCACTTGGGTAGTTTATTTATTCAGTCTCCCCTACCAGGCTGGTTTGGCTATTTCGGTGATGCACGAGATACCAACCCAGCCCAGACAAAAACGAGCTCAGCTCTGTCAGGGCTATCAGCAAACACCAAGCCCTGAGGCTAGCCAGGAATTTTAATTGAAATTGCAGGTCCCTGGGCTCAGATAAGACCCAACATCACCCTACTGCTCCCTCCACTATCCCCTCACTGCTCCACGGGGCCACCAGGACCAGATCCCCCTCCCCAAATTCGTGCGGGGTATCCTAGCCCCATTCCATGCCCTGTGGAGCTCAGTGCCCACCCACCAAGGCAGCACTGGGACATACTGGGAGGGAACTCTCCAGCATCCCCTCCCCTCCCGCAGGAGCTTGGTGGTCTGCGCCCCTTATCAGCCCTTATCTCCCGAAGCCTCTCGCTAATGTGACCTTAATGGAGCTAAAACCCACTCGATTTGTTTTATTGCGGCTTAGCCCGAAGCCCAACACCTCTCCCCTCCCCTCCCTTCCCTTTTCCCTTGTTTTGGAAACACACAAGGAAGGGGCTGCTCCTTCCTTGGAGCTC